CAAAATTGCTGGAAAGGTTGCCCCGTCTGAAGCGATCCTATACTCTGTTTCATACATAGAGTGCAACGCAGTCAAAGCTAGCGCACCGGTTTGCATTGCTGACCGTGCCTACGTTCGCCCCATAAGATAGTGCGTCCCCTGCAGAAAAATTTTAAAAAGTCGGAAAATGTGCCTCCTCGGGGCTAGTAACTGATATTGGCGTTATGATTTCAACGGAGCACAAATGTTTTTCAAGAAAAAGAAAAAGATAATGTAAACCACCTTAAATTGTTTTCGTGTTCATCCGTGTGGCAGCCGCTGGTTTTGAGAAGATGGCGTCTTACGCAGCAAGCTCAAGTACCTTTCCTGCTCGGATGTTTTCGAAGATTCGTTGTGCGAAAATCTTGAAAGAGTGCAAGCAGATGATCGCCAATGTGTACGGGAGTATAAGAACACATTCCCCGGAGAATTCGGTCGTGAAGTCCTGGAGACGGCCAGTAACGACACTGGAGTGTGCCCTGTACTGTCGCGAAGTGCAAGGCACAGTGCCTATCTGGCAAGGTGGCGTCCCCGAAGCAAAGACCTCGCAACAAGAAAGTTTCGAGCACGGGGACCGTCAAGCATGACGAGTTCACACAGAACGCCATTCGCCTGAAGGTGCATTGCAAGTGCTCCGAGAGGGAGATTCCTACCCTTGACAGCTATTTCAAAATAAACTGTACAGGCCACAACTATTGTCGTTAATGTTTTATTATAAATTTTGGGACAAGGCCGCTATCAGGGCGATTCCTCATTCCACGCTGCACGAAAGAAAAATATAACTCGGTGCTGGAGGCAAATAACACTTGCAAAGCAACAGACCAGATGGTAGACATCTGGCCTCTCGGCGACTTATAAATAAAAATCAAGAAGGAGGAACTGAAATATGCACTTCGTCAATGCGCACAATCTTGCAAAAAAAGAATGTCTAAAAAAGAAAGAAAAAAAAAAAAAAAACTTTGCGCGTAAAATGGGTTTGAACCACGGCCACCGAGACGTCAATATCGCCAGAGCAGCGCCTTCTACCACTCGTCCACGAAACGCGCGGAGTAACACTTTTTCTATTTTTTCATGCGCACCACTTTAGTACCTTTGACAGCGTTGCACGCTAAGTATGAAACAGAGTATGAGACACCCTATTGTCTATAAGAGACCATTTATGAACCCTTGGGTATTTAAACGATGTACTACACATTTTACAAAAAAAAAATTGGATGTTTAAACGTTGTACTACCCTTTTTTCAATAGAAAAAAGCAACAATAAAAAAAAATAACAGATTTCAGAAGAAAAAGTTGAGGAAACGGAATGTACCATTATGTTCAGTGAAGTTTGGTGACAAGACTCGGGACTCGAGCAGGAATGCAGTCATCCTTGGTGTGACCCGATGAGACGGTCTTGCTGCCTTTGCTGGGGTTTATCTAACTGAAGTACCTGTACGAAAAGTAGAACACATGTGCATAACACTCATTATTCACGAGAAAATTTGTCAATGTCCAAAATGACCCATGAAGAAACTTATGCGAGGAATTTTCAGGCTGCGTTGGCCGAGTCACCTCTCGTGGCCAATGTTTCATAGCAACTTTCATTCTTGTGAACAGTTATAGGGTATATTACGAACAAAGTGCAATTTGGTTTTGTAGGAAACTATAACACACAAAACGACACTTGTATACAGTATGTTGAGGTGCCTCTAGACAAACTCCAGGGTTTCATGGCACCTCCTTCAGATACCTGATGTTGAACATGAAACATGTGCACCAAGGAGTGAGCAAACAGCGATTTCAGATTTGTCTCTAACACCAGCGACATGTCGACAAGGAGTGCAACGTGTAGAAGGTCGTCTAGAAGTGTGCCAAGATGAAAAAGCAAGATGTAACGATATCAGAATAAGATCACACCAACGAGGCACCAGTGTGGTGAGACAATCTACGATGTAGAGACAGTAATCGGGAGTCAACCGACGTACGGCCGCGATTTACTTTGCAGCGACTAAAATGAAACATGGCAAAAAAAAAAAAAATTGAAAATAAATAAAACGCGTTTTTTTGTTTTTTTTTTTGTTTTTACCATATTTGTTGAGCGGAGCCGGTAGCAGAGCAGTTGGGCGGCGTCACGAAAATCTGACAGACTCGCTAGCTTTTCTCAACTTCGTACGGCGCCAGTCGGCACCACAGATGAATGGTCGGCACTCTTAGTCTACCAGGGAAGAAAAAAGTACGAGCTCAGAGCCCAGCGTCGATCGCGACTTTCGTAAAGAGAAGCTCCGGTAACACTTCGGCGACTCGTGAGCGTTAAACAACGCCTCTTCGAACGAGGCCACGACTCCAACACGTCGAACGGTTTGCGCCGGTAAGCACGCTGGGAGCCAGGGGGCTGGAGGATGAATATCCGAAAGAGACGAGGCGCTGGTTTCTACGTCTATTTCGCACATGAGATAACAAGCCGAGTGATAGCTAGCCGAGTGTAAACACTGACTGACGTTACATCAGAGTACACGCAGTCGAAATGACGTCTGCAACAGAGCACAGCCAGACGCTTTCAGCAGGGGACGCATGCGTTCAAATAAGCTGCGATTTCAAAACATCATGCCTCCCTTCTGTCCTTCAGTGTTCACTTTGATCTGTGTATACCAAAGCACTCAATGCTGCAAGTAATAAAGTCGTCTATACGTACCTTTCGAAGCGATTGAAAGTGCGTTGGTTTCACTTGGAACCCACAAGCAAAGTGCGCGACGAACTTGACGAGCTGCTATCCGTCGTTTCCGCCGGGTTGGCGCGGTCGCGGTCGTTGCGCAATGGCGGCGCAATCTCGGCGGCTCGCTCAGCCGCTTGTCTGGCAGCGCATGCGCGCAGGCGCGCAGGGTCGCTGGGTTCGCCTCCCTTCGGAGTTCGAACTGCCTCCGAAACTCGAGCGCTCGAGCTTTCGCGCGCGCGGGTTGACGATGGAAACTTTTCTCATAAAACGAGTCTGTAACGTATCGTTTGATGGCGCAAATGCACGTATTTTTCCCGTCGTTTTTTACAGTGTGTGAATCTTGCGAAACAGGCGACGAAGAGAGGTGGGTGAAATGTGCTCGCGTGTGGTTGTGGATTTTGTGTACGACGTAGGATTACCCAGAAAGGTGGGTCAATATCGATAAATGTGCGGGTAAGAAGCACGTGACCTGTCAAGCCCATTAATCCTCATTATTTTATCGTGCGAACTGACATTGTCACGTATCGCGTTCGATTTGGGTTCCAACATCGGTAACCTAACTTTTGTTGCATTAAAACTGCAATAAACATTTGTTTGAAGACGATCACTCCAATGAGCACGTCGTTATTGGGCTTTCTCATAGAAAGGTAGGTCGCGGGTGTCCCAGCTAGTTATTCTGAATGGTTTGGTGGTTGTCTACCCAAGTAGCACAAAATGTGGCTACAACGTTACTGGAATGTTGTCAGGTAACGTTGCCGAACGCTGCTAACGACCGCGGATTCTACTCTCCAGTAACGTTACAGCACAATGTTACAGTAACGTAACTGCATACGTTACCTGGACATTACACAAATAATGTTACTGGAACGTTGTTAGATAACGTTGCCAAACGTTGCTAATGGCCACCAGTTCTACCTTCCAGTAACGTCACATCAAAACGTTGCAGTAACATAGCTCTCTATGTTACCTGGATGCTAGATCAGTGATGTTACTCGGACGTCGTCGCTAACGTTGATAGTTGTTGTTAATGGCCACGAATTCTACCATCCAGTAATGTTACACCAAAATGTTGCACTGACATTACGGCTTACTTAAAAGTAAAGGAATAAAAATGTGAAGAACATACACAAACGACCACTCTTTCATTTCGCAAGAACGTTTATTTTTTGAGGAGCAAAGAGTCGCATACAGGTCGAGATCAACTAGATACCGAAGGTGGAGTGTTACTGACTCATCCCTTATCTCCCTAAAGTTCCTTTGATCAAGCCTTCCTTTTGCAGTTAATCTTGACCTGTGCGCGAGTCTTTGCTTCCAAAAAACGAGCGTCGTAACTAAATGAAAGAGCGGTCATCTGTTTTTCCTCAGTGCTTTTATTCTGTTAACTTTCAGTAAACATTTTTACAATATGCTGGCACTGGCCAGATATTACTGCACGTGTTACTTGGACAGTACTGAACAATGTTATCTGAAAATACATTGACAAGCGCTGCCAGGAAACTGCATTTATGGTTGTCATGAAGTCATTTTTTGAGCTGGTGCCTGATATGAGTAAATGGATGTGCATTACAGGCCATTAATGAATCAGCATTTTGAAATCCTAGAAGCAGGACTCCGGAAGAAAACAAGAAGTTATTGGAATAAATTTATTTCAAAAACAAAACCAACATTACAAGTACCAGAGAATTCTTCTGTTTCTTACAAGCTATTAGATCTACAAAATTGTAAAGAACACACTAAATTACAAGGCTGATCTGCATAAAAATAAAAATGTAAAATATTAAAACTCCCAGCAACATAAAGCAAGTAGCCTAAAATAAAATTCTAAATATATCTCAAATTACACCCGATCTTGGGCTAGGACATATAAATAAATAACGGAGGCAATAAACCAAAAATTACTAGAAAAAGAACATAAATTTTAAATCTTCTAAAAATACCACACTAATGTGTACATAAATTAAATAAAACAAACCACTAGCTGGGGCTAAAATGTATGCATGAATAGAAATTAAAGGTAACATATGCATATTACAAATTGACATAAAAAATTCAAACAACAGGGACTCTACTCATGGGATGGCTGTAAAAAAAGGAGAAAGAAATCATTAGAAAAAAAAGCATTTTAAATGATTTAGGTAGCATGAATTTTTTTTTTTTCAATTCTATGCATTTAGCACGGTTAACTAATTCCATGCTTCCAACTGGGATCAAAGTAACCAACTACTAACATTTAAAACTAACAGAAAAATCAAGGCAGAAACATGCTGAAAAACAGCGCAAGATGCACGGATAAGAAAACACACAGGACAAGGCACTGTGTGTTCTTTTTCCTTTGTCTGGTTTTCGCACCGTTTTTTAACATGAATTCTTACCAACTAGCCCAGCCCAACTGTCCATCCTTGTAATCAGAAACATGCTTGCCTTCTCCCCTTGTGGCAGCCCCTCAGTCACTCCTGAGAAGAGGCACACTGCTCCTGCAAAAAAATAACACAAAAAAGTTGGTTGCATTCAGAAAATGGGTGCCTATTTCAGGGCAGAGAGTGTCATCAAGATAAAAAAAGAAATGCCTACATCTGTCCTAGCAGTTTCACCGCAGTTTCTTTGCATGCACAAGCCATTCTTTTCATCCAGTTTAGACTTTTACCGCAAAGTGTGACCTACCCACAGAAGACAGTGGATATGCGACTTATTCTTTTCTGGCAAGGTAGGCGGCTGTTCTCGGCCACTCACTTTTTCCCACTTCAACCTTCTATTTATTCATGCGTGACAGGCACTTTCTTAAGAGGGAAACAGCTATTTTCTGCAGCACCTTTTTTATTTTGTATTTGTAGAGTTAACTTTGTTTTCATTTTATCCTAAGAGAATAGCTTTCTTTTAAAGAACATAGATGTTCTTCTACTAATAAATATAAATAATAAATTAACAAAGAGAGGAGACACGTCTTTTCTTTTCCCCGTATCATGGGCCACGGAGACAGATCACTGCCTCAAGGACGGCTTCGTCTTGAAGCAGAATAGGTCTCTTCAAGGACGAAGATATATATACGCTTTTGAATGGACGTGCATTCATCACTGCACCTGATGATCACAGCTTTTAAAAGTGTCGTTAGTGTTACCGTGTCTTATTGGCCTCATTAACAGAAGTCATCATTTACTAAAAAAAAAATATAGAAGGTGACAAAAAAAGGTTCCTTCCTTTTATATATATATAAGTTTATAAGTTACAATAAATATTAAAACACTGCTATCCTCCCGGCACTAAAAAGAAAAATATTTCTACTGCTCAAATAGGCTACGTTCAATGAAACAACTTCGATGAAATGGCGTTCAATGAAACAGCGTTCGATAAAACTGCGTTCAATGAAACAGCTTCGATGAAACAATGTTCAATGAAACGGCGTTTGATGAACTGTCCGGACCCAGGGGCAATGTCAATGAGCCTCATATTTTCTACAATGTCAAGCTCATTGCAGACAATGTCATAACATGGTGTTCTTTCATTGGCTAAATAAATTTCTTAATACTTAAAAATGTCTTTATGTAAAGTAGACTAATGCCTTTGTTTGAAATCTGGGCTTGTTTTAGGATGCAAAAGTATTTTTCGGGAGTTTAAGCAAAAGTAGAAATATCATATTACCATTTTCTTGGTCCTAGCTGGTGCATGCCTGACCGATTCAGCAGCAGCCCATTTGGCGTCGGCTTCCTGCACGATGATGGCTGGCTCATTGTTTTCTGCCTTCTGTTTAAAGCAGGTGCGCACAGCTCCTGTTTCAAAAGTATATAATTAAAACACAATGTCAGCTACCACAGTGAAATATCGACAATTTCATGCCCTACTTCAGCATAACTTGGCAGACATCGGTAACTATGAAATCAGCCAGGGTGTCTAGCAAATTCCTCCTTTTAAGTTCCCCAGCTTTTCCAGGTTTTAAATTCCCTGTCCATTACAGAAGTTTGGAGATGTGGTACGAACTGCTACTAAACACCTCATAAGTGAACACCACTCACAATTTAAAACAATTTATTGAAATCGGTCTTTATGTTGCTCAAGAAGTCAAAGACTTACAAAGTTTCGGGCAATGGTATTTAGCACAGCCACGTCAATGCACGACTCTCCTGGCTTCGTCGCACACCACCGCATTACTCGCCCTGGCCATTTTCCCTGATTTGGCTAACTTTTTGATTATCTCCCTGACAATTCCCTGACTTTTCCAGATGATCCGAAATTTCCTGACAATTCCAGCTTTTCCAAGGTGCTAGACACCCTGTCAATGAGCCAGATAGCTCGGGAGCGAGGCATGGGACAAAACTCCACTGTAGTGAGCTTATGTGGGCTGCTGTCACATGCTTCACCAGGACACAGTTTCCTTTCATCTAAAAGAGCCAAATCCAGAAAACTGAAACCAAGCAAATTTTTGTGTGAATTCAAACTATATTCGTTGGTCCATCGATCTCAAATGCTACTACAGTGAAATCGGTCAGAGTACGCTATAAAAACAACAGCAGAGGTGGCTGCGGCACATGGCTCAAAGCTATACTGATAAGCAAACATACCAATTTATCTGTTTTGCTTCATGTGGTTTTCGCCTTTTTAGAAAAAAAAAAGCTCCTCACTTGTGTGCCCTGTTTAGCTATAGCCATTTGTTGTTAAAAGGCAACTCTGCTTAATTCCAAAACTTTTGGAATTATAAGACTTCAAATAAAAATAAAAAATAAATTTAAAAAGAAATATAAAAATAACTATTTTATTTCATGCATTGGTGGAATATTTCCTATGCAATTTTGCTTTAAACATAGCCCAAATAAAACCCGAAACATCGGCTTCTACAGGCAACAATGGCAGAGACGGAGGAGACATGACCAATCCCATGGTACAAATGATGATGTGCTACCCCTGCGAGGACGACGCAAACAGACTGGCCTGAGTGTTGTCTGCTCAGTGTCGGACGACATCCGCACCACTGCAACCTACGCTAAAGCCAAGTTTTCTCAAAGGAATAAATATCTCAGGAACATTAGTATGCAGCGAGGTCTACTAAATAGTACATAAATAAGCCATTGAGTATGTGAACATTGTGCAAACAATGCCATTATTATTTAACAGAGGTGAACCATGAGAAACGTGCACATCCAGGTCTGTGCCAATCATGTGGACACCGCTGAACCAACTTTTGGAGAAGACATTGCTCAAGTCAAGGACTGACTGTGCATGGAAAAAACAAAGAAAACGTAACAATGCACCTGACATAGTAAATTGATGTTTGGTGCACTGAAGCCGTAGTAGCAACTGCGCTGTCGTTTGCGCCTACATTGTCAGCTAGGGTTAGCAGTTTGCTGATCCATTTCATAAAGATTTAAATGGAGATAATATTGGACATGTGGTTTTCCTAGATGATACTGAAGAAGCCTTTGTTTTCTCTCACTAACAAAAATGAAACAGAGCCTGCAAAATGGCGGGCCCTTGCGCGCTGCCATCTTCCAGCTCGGGTGCACCCCAGATAATCCGATTATGAAGGCTTGCTAAAGCGTCACTAAGCTAATTGACAGATTTGTACCCTGAGAGCACGTTTCCCTACCCATGGTGGCTAGACTACTTTTGGAAACATGACTGCTTGCAAACGTGTATAGCTAGCTGATTGTGTCATTCAGCTATATGGTAATGTACCTTACACCAAAGAGTGCTCGGTGGTGTAAAACAAAATGTACCACCTTTCTTTAAGAAGTGGTCAATCCTAACGCTGCCCAAACCATTCCACATATAAAGCAGAGGGCAGGTTCATAAAAAGTGCTAGGGTTAGAGTGCACAAACAGCAAGCATTCTAATGTATCCTTTGACCAGACAGCATAGATAAATAAACAAAATTAATTAAATTGTAAAATAAAAATGACTAGTACAGCAGAATTATGCAAACATGAGGTTGCAGCAATACAAAGCAAACATATGCACCGTCAAATTAAAAATATCCACTTCACCATCCCTTAGGCTATAACTGTCCTTGTGCGAGGAAGCATACCACAACTAGCAGCTTTGTAAAATTAAAAATGACTAGATAAAAAAATGAAAGCCGTTTACAACTCCCTGTAACGCTAAATTAGAGTGCAGCTCTAGAGGAGGAGGGAAGGGTCCCGAGGAAAGGGTATACCCCTCCTCCCTGCCACACCTCCCTCTGAGCGGTGTCCCCGTAACCGTGAGGTCACGTGACCCTCCTGACGGGGGTCACGTGACCCCGCGAGGACAATTTGGCATGGTGCCGAAACGTAACCTTGCCGAAACGTCGCCGCGGTTACGGCGACGGCGACACCACTCAAGCCGGAAACGGGCGCCTAAGAGCTGCGCTCTAAAAGAAACACCAAAACAGCAGGTGCTCAATAAACAATATGGATACCATTCATTATCACAATTGCGGCTAACCAAGCTGAGGCTAATCACATAAAATAAAAAATCTAAATGCTGGAAAGCGTTAAGAAATTGCAGCAACAAAAAGCAAACATACACGTGTGCGTTTTTGCTTGGACTCTGGTGCACGTTCTGGAAGTTGAGGGGCTGGCTGAGTGTTACGTCGTTCCTGCATAAGAGGCAAGCTTGATGAAAAAGGAGGGCAAATGAATCCCGAATACAAAGGTGTTGCAGAAATTTATGTGCATACATCTTGGTCATACAAGTCCTCATCCTCAAATGAAGAAAGAGTATGCTGCAGTCTTTTCCTTTTTCTCTTCTCCCGCTCTTCATTATTCAATGTTAGGTCGGACATCGCTTCCGAATTTTTTTTCTTTGTACTTTGCATCTTCAGATGTCACTGAAACAAGAAAGCCGAGCACACCAGTCAAATGTTTAACCACCACAAGCTTGTATGCACCCTAAACTTTTGTTCATTAAATCAAATATGCTCGCTTTATGGTTAGACAGCTTTTAGGTTAAAGCCTGCCAACTTTTTCGGGCTCATGTATATAATCTGTGAGGATTGGGCCAGCTCAGGTTTATATTAAAGAAAACAAAAATTTTGTCTGGCTCGTGCTGGGCTCAAGCTTCTGTCTAAAATTCTGTCGGGTCCGGGCCGGGCCCGAGCCGTGTCTCTTCAAGGCCAAGTCTGGCCGGGCCCGGAAATTAAATATTCTATTAGGCTCGGGCCAAACCCGGGCCGCGCCTCTACTGGGCCGGGTCTAGAAATTCTGGCTCGTGCAGTGCTCTAGCACACTCTACATTGGGTGAGCAGAGTCCGCGCTCCGCTCTAAGCAGAATTTATTGCCTATTTCTCTGCCCCAAGGTTCTCAACTCTTTGCTCAGGGCACTCAATGGCATTTCCAGCTCATTTTCCATGACTGGGCTTGATTTTTGACAATATCCCTGATTTTTCCCGGTAATTAAAATTTCCCTAACAATTCCCGGTTTTCCCGGTTGCTAGACACCCTTCTATACTTACAACATGATGCCATCACCTGACAGGAGAATGTGGCCCAGTCAGTCGAAGGCTCTTCACGCTCTCTAATTGCCATCATCAACCGATTTGATTTGTAGGGTGGCCATGCCGTGCAGCCATTGCACACCCAACAGGTAGGGACAACTGCGACATCATTTTCCGCCAAAAAAATGGACAGGAGAGTACATTTCCTGAAATCAACAAATAAAGCCGTTATTACCTTAAAGACCAGTCATAACTCACTAAAAATACAGTTTTCGAATTAAGCACAACCAATGTACAATAGTTGCAAACATAGATCACACTTGCAAGTGAAGTAGATAAAAAAACAGCATAGCCCTGGTTATCGAAAAAATAGAGTGCAGGCGAGCTGGTGTAAGTTGAACATGATTGTAAACCTGAGACTGGGGCAGAAAAGAGAACACAGCAGAAGGTAGAAAAAGGGGAGGCAACGTCTCAAACTCAGCTGCAAAGTTTATTTCGTACACGCCTTATATACCACAACTCCAACGCCGAATGGCGGTGGTTATGTTGGAATGTGACCCTTTGTGTGAGTGTTTTGCAGGAGAGGTCAAGGGAGATAAGAGAAGGTTTACCCAAATTTCATTGTCCTCTTGTCATATATCTTTTTTTTTTTTTTGTAGAGACAGCGTTGGAGTTGTGGTATATAAGGCGTGTACGAAATAAACTTTGCAGCTGAGTTTGAGACATTGCCTCCTCTTTTTCTACCTTCTGCTGTGTTCTCCTTTCTGCCCCAGTCTCAGGTTTACAATCATGTCCCTGGTTATATTGCAAGCAGACGCACTTCCACCTGATGTCCCGCACACTCCCCACTGAATACTGCATGGAGAGCCCTGTAGCTCTAAACATTCCTAGCTCTGATGATGGCAGCTTTGAAGTATAAAGGTTGCCGAGATTTCGGAAAAACTGTCCGCAGATGCTACAGTTCCCATCTGACTCAATCAAGTTCCTAACAACAGCAATGTTGCCATACTTCAGTTGAACACAGTTGTCGGACGCCTTCAGAGAGAAATGTGCTCCGTCTAAAACAAGCTCACTGCACTGGGTTTTCTTGAAGCTTGGCGGCTCAGGTTGTTGCTTGAGCAGAGCACACTTCTGCTGCACAGAACTTGACACGGTGGTGGAATTCACTTCTGAGTGCCTCTTGATAACCTGCTGCAGCGCCAAGGAAGGACCCCTCACCAACTTCTTGAGCTTCCCAAGGAAGTTCTCAAAGGGAAAGGCCGAGAAGGTGTTGACAGGGCCGAACCGTCGAACGTCTTGTCAGGTGGATCAGGGAGTGCATGTTGTAGACATAAACCCCCTCATACAAGGTACCAGCTCCAGAAACAAACTCTCTCAACAGAGATTCTGCAAGATCACAGTGTGTCAAAGAAAATTTGGGGCTGGCTAGGATGGTCATAACACAGCTCAGCTTTATGAAGTGTCCATAAAAGCGCTTTTCCAAATGGTTTCTAAGGACCACTTGCCTGGGGGAACTGATAAGGGGATAAAGGAAAGGGGGTTTTGAAGGCCGGGGATTTTGAAGAGGGGGAGGTAACGCGGGGAATTCGCAGCGGGAATTTCGACACAGGTGTTCTGAGATTAGGTTATTTCGTGCACCACTCGTATCACTCGACTCAGATTCACACTCGGAAGCTCGTTGGTATTCAAACTCTCCGGAAAAACTTGCATGTGCTGCCACGGCCTGTTGTACAGGTGCAAGAGGGTATGCTTCCTTAGTGTCCACAGACTCCTCACTGCTCGTACCGCAACTTTCAAGTTCCTTGCGAACACTTTCGGCTACTCTAAGTCTTTTTTAACGATCGGATAGCTCTGATAGCGAACGCTTCGCCCGCTCCATTGTTCAGCACAAGTAGTAACAACAACGAAAATGAAACATACCTTTGTTTACGTTTCCTCCACGCCGAGAGATCGGCAGAGCGGTCCGATGAAACAGGCCTTGACGGTCCGTTGACATACGGTCACGTGGTCAACCTGGCTTCGACCTTGCTTGGCTTGAGCTACTTGCACTCTTGGCATCTTGGCTTGTCAACAGTGTGCGTAAACGAGTAAACGACTAAACATGAAGTTTCAAGTAGGAATAAACTGTGGAAATTTATATGACAGTACTAAAATAAGTTTTTTTTAAGAGTTATAAAACATTACATTGATTGGAGAAATTGGAAATTGGTCTAAGCCGTACAGCCATAACCGTAATGCCGTACTAGTGTGCAATCATGGCGGACGATGGCGATCTTGAACGTCTTGCAGTGATCAGTGGATGACCTCGACCGTAATATCGGTAACGATAGTGAACTGTTATCATCGAAACGGTAGTACCGTAGCTATGCGACTGTGCTGTGCCATTGTGATGTGTCCAGATAACAAATGTAGGCAAAGAGTGGTCCACGCAGAGCGAGCTTCGAAGCCTCAAGCTCAAATATGTTCTCGTGTCGACGGCTCTTTGGCGAGAAGTGAACGGGGGCTAACAATGTGTGTGCGATTATCCTCGTTTCATTATAATTAGGGTCCATATTAGATGAGCGAATGACGTTTTAGCAAACAGCGGCATTTGAGCGAATCGACGTTTTAGCGAAGAGTAAAGCTATACGCACTCCGGAGTGCGCTTCGCGCGGAAATGGCTATACGCACTCCTCCGAGAGATCATGCCGCTCGGGCCACCCTTTTCGAACGGCGCGTGAATCACTGGGGCGCTCGTTAACACAGGCCCCCGCCTGCGTTCGCGGCGACAGTATCGGCTGCTAATTACGAAGCGTAACCAGTACACGCCGCTTCGCGGCGTCCAGCCGGCAATCCAAGCCCCGCTGTCCCCGATCGCACCTCCGGAAAGGGAGTCCGATACCATTTAGTTCTGCGAAGTTTCTCGACAACATTCGAATTTTTTTTATTTTTTTTATTTTTTTTATTGTTCATCGCAAAAAAGGAAATGTCGTAAATATCGCCAAATGTCTCGACAAAACAAAATGTTCAAGGAAAAAAAAAAAAAAAAAAAAGTAGGCCCACCACAGATCGAACCCGCGTCTACGTGCGTATGAGGCGGACACCCTACCCCTATGCCATGGCACCGCTTAGGAAACTCGTTGTGTCCACTCTTTTTATACGAGAAAAGCGGAGTGCGTATAGCCATTTCCGTCCGAAGCGCACTCCGGAGTGCGTATAGCTTTACTCTTTAGCGAATAACGGGGGCGCGCGTTAACCTATCCGCCGCGCGGCGAGTCTGCGGCGGCTCATTACAAAAATGTGAACCCACTTGGCCCACCCGAAAACGCCGCTTCGCAGCGTCCGAATTTTCGCTAAAGTGTCATTCGGTGAAACGTGGACATTCGCTAACACGTCACTCGATAAAGTGAGTGCCTCCCCCCTTGGGGCCCTTCATTTTGAGTGGTCGGCGGAGTGCGTCCTTGTATCCGTGGCCCTTGATGCTAGATCTCCTTCCTACCTGCCCCCCCCCCCCGCCTCTCACTCACTTTTCTTTAATCTCACCCCATTCCCGTCCCATCTCTCCTATGTTGCCTTTTCTAACCTTTCACTCCTCATTTCCTCGCATGATTTAATGTTTGTGGCCCCCCCTTCCCCACCTTCATAGGATTATATGTTCGTTGCCTTTGACCTTTGATCTCGACTTCGGACCCTTGACTGCTCCTCCTCGCCATCTCCCCTTCTATCTCCTCGGTGTCCTTATTCCTCCCTCCCCTCTTCCTCTACTCTCTTGTCCACCTTCCTCTTCCCGCTACCCATCCTACTCAGCTTTCCTCCCCTCTTCCCCTTCTCTCTCGTTGGAGTGATTCTATGTTCATGGCCTTTGACCTTTTCTTTTTGGTGGCAGCTGCATATGGCTCTTCATTTTGAGTGGTCGGGGAGGTGTGATCTTGTGTCCATGCAACCGAGGCCTATGACCTGCGATGTTTTACGTCTTACCTGGCCCCACCCCGTGCCATCTCCTCATTCCCCATTGGTCTCATATTCCCTCTGTGTGCTCTTCCTCCCCTCTTTCCTCTCTCCTCCGTCTGATCTTGCTCCTCCCTGCCCCACTTCTCTTCATCTTTCTCTTCATGCTCCCTCAGCCTCTCATCCTCATTCCCTTTTTCCTTTTGTCTCCTCTCTTCCTTGTGTGAGCGTGTGTTTTTGGCCTTCGACCTTCATACTTGACCTCTTTCTTCCTGCCTCTATTCTCCTTCCCATCTCATCGCTCACCTTCCCCCTCAACCGTCTCCCTTTTCCCCTCCTCTGTCTATGAGACAATGGCTACCGCCAGTCGTCTCACTTGCAGTGTGCTGCAATGAGCCGCCACTTTTTGAGTTTTCCGAATAGAGTGCTGAGCTGTA